AGCCGAATAAAATTTTTACCATGTTGGCCGAGATATGGTTTTAGTGTATTCAAGGCTGCCACGACCTCCTCAATCAACCCCGAATGATTTAAAAATCTTGTTCCGTCATTTGCTCTATACAGGTCGAGTACTGGGGTACCCAGTACAGCTTGGTCTTTGCCGAGACTTTGGGAAATCACGAGCTCTAACTCATCGTCCCTGTAAGTGTCAATAAAATCATGTGCCAATGGTTCAATACAATCAAGTAAATAAACACAATGGTCAGAATCAGGAAACTTCATTGCATCAAAAATATTAAACCGAATGACAATGCCATCGAACTCCATTGTAAGAGTGCCTTCACGAACATCGATTTTTGTTTGAGCAGTATTCAAGAACGGCCGCCCTAACAAAATTGGGGTTGTCACAGGGGTCCTGTCATCCATGCTCAACACATAAAAGTCAGCGGGAAAAATAAGTTCATTGACTTTAACTAGAACATCCTCAATTACCCCATCCGGAAAAGTAGTACTCCGGTCGGCAAGTTGAATTACCACACGAGTTTCTTTAAGAGGACCCAAATTTAAGGAATCAAAAATAGAGCGAGGCATAACATTAATTGATGCTCCCAAATCGAGCATGGCTCGCTCGATTTTTAAATTTCCAATAGTGCATGGAATCGAAAACATACCTGGGTCGCTCCTTTTCTGCGGTAAATCCATCTGAAATATTGCCGAGACGTTCTCCCCCATCAGAATCTTCTCATTCCCTTGCAACTTTCACTTGTTGGTGCACAAATCCTTCAAAAACTTGGCATAGCGAGGGACTTGCTTGATGGCATCAATGAGGGGAATATTGATCTCGACTTTTTTTAACATATCAAGAACTTGCTTCTCAGAGTCTTCCTTTCCTGCCTTACGTACTCTGGATGGAAATGGTAGAGGTTCGGGTTTTGGTTGTGGGCCAACTGTGCTACTTTTGTTGTGATTATCAGTTTCTGCAGCAGGAGTACTGGGACACCCCGTACTCTGTTGTACCACCCCGTACTCTGCAACAGATTTCTCATCTTCACCTCTATTCTTCTCGGTTTGAGACTTCGGGGCTTGTAATTCTTTCCCACTCCTCAAAGTGATGGCGCTAACATTCTTTGGGTTGATTTCAGATTGAGATGGAAGTCGACTACCGAGTTGTGCATCTAATCGACTCATATGCTCCGCCAATTGACTCATTTGGACCTCTAATTCTTGATGCTTACTCCTTGACTCTTGATGTTCGACTCTTGGTTCTTGATGTTTGCTTCAACACCTTGCTGGAAAGTCATGGTGTTTGTTGCCAACGCCTTCATCATGTCCTCGAGCGAAGATGGTTGCATGGAGTTTGGTGGACTGTTACCCACTTGTCGTGGAAAATTTTGACTTCTTTGGAAAATTTGAGGTGGTCGATTATCTTTCTCCCCGTATACTGCCCCAGATGGATTGCCATATCGATAAATTAGGGTGGTCTCTCCATCCGGGATTGTAGGTGTTGGAAAATGGATCATATGTTCGGCCCGGCCCGTTGTTGGACCCTATAGCATTTGCTTGCGCCTCCATCTCACCATTGATTAATGGACAATTGTTTGTAACATGATCAGTTGTCTCACAGCGCATGCATGGTTGTGTCCTGGGCAGGCCATCTGTTGCTAATTTTCGAACAAAAGTCGTCAACTCTTTAACTTGTGACTCCAAGGCGCCAATACTCTTTTCATTCACCGACTGAAAAGATGCTTCCCGATTACCGAATTGTTGGGAATTCGCGGCCATGTTTGCTATCAACTCCCTTGCGGCTGTCGGTGTCTTGTCCATGAGAGTGCCTCCACTCGCCGCATCGAGCATATTCCTGTCCATAAGGGACAACCCCTCATAAAAATATTGAATCAACAGTTGCTCCGTCATCTGGTGTTGAGGGCAACATGCTATGAGTCGCTTAAATCTCTCCCAATACTCATAGAGTGTCTCTCCATGTAACTGTTTGGCACCACATATCTCCTTACGTAAATTTGCCACCCGGGACGCTGGAAAGTATCGTTGGAGAAAAGCCTTCTCCATGTCAGCCCACGTGGTGATGGATCCTGAGGGTAAGTAGTAAAGCCAATCTTTGGCTCGGTCCTTCAATAAAAATGGGAACGCCCAGAGTTTAATCTGCTCCTCGGTCACCCCGGCGGGCTTCATTCCGGAACAGACCGTATGGAATTCCTTCAGGTGCATGTGAGGGTCCTCACCAGAGAGGCCATTGAATGACGACAATAAGTGTATTAGGCCAGACTTAAGCTCGAATGTGGCGTCATTCACCCTTGAGAATGTTATGCATAAAGGTTGTTGAAGGAGTTGAGGATTGGCAAGTTGCCTTAGCGTACGTTCTTCGTCTCCCGCCATTACTTCTTCCTCGTTTGAAGAATCAGAATGTTCAGCTAGGGAAAATTTCAAAACTAGTCCCACAGGTATAGGGGGGTGACATTTTTGGTCCCAACGGAATTTAAAAAATATTAATAGTCCCGCAGCTTTTGAAAAATAATCAAAAGTAGGACTTTTTTTAATTTTCCGGCCCGGAATGCCACGTGGCACACACGTGGTGGGACTATTTAAGAATTTATGGATTCTTTTGGGACCAAAAATATCACCTCCCAAAACCTGTAGGACTAGTTTTGATTTTTTCCTTGCCATTGTACTCATCCACGTCAGATGAATGTGGCCACGTGGCATTCCGGGCCGGAAAATTGAAAAAAGTCCTACTTTTGATCATTTTTTAAAAGTTGCGGGACTATTAATATTTTTTGGATTCCGTTGGGACCAAAAATGTCACCCCCCTATACCTGTGGGACTAATTTTGAATTTTTCCCTGTTCAGCTATGTCGGGTTCGCTGGAAGAACTGTGGTAATCAGCGATTTCTGGATAATCTTGTTCTCGGTTTGGTTGTGACTCCCTAGCCAACCTCGCTTTCCTACGGTTCTCCTTGTCCTTTCTTGTGATTTCCGGGTCGTACGTCAATGGTTTCTGTCCAGTAGATCTCGTGTTCATCCACCTGAAGAAAGATTGTATCGAACGTCACCAAATATATCGAAAGTAATGGGTTTCGTAACAATTCTGCACTCAGAGTACTGGGAATCGACACAGAGTACTGGGGTACCCAGTACTCATGGGAGCAGAATTTAAAATGAAATAATTTAAAGAAAATGTAACAGGGTTTTTTTTTTCAAATAAAATAAATTGAACCTAATTATGAAACTTAGTATTAATTTCAATTAAAAAAATAAATTAACAACTCAATTCCGTAACTCCCCGGCAACGGCGCCAAAATTTGACCGCGCGTCGCAACGCGACAAAATTAAATTATATTTTCCTTAAACAACTTCTACCAACTAGCAGTAGTAGTGAGCAAGGGTCGAACCCACAGGGAGTATGAAATTTAATTATAATTATTTTCTTTAATTGAAATTACAAAATATTAATAAAGAGGGGATTTTGATATGAATAAATTAACTGCTAGAATGATGAAAAGAAAAATAAACAAATGCAGCAATTAACAATGATTTTTCAAATAATGGGCAAGCTTCTAGTTCACGGTTCCGTCTACACCCTCGACCGACTTGTTTAATCAACTTTGGTATCAAATTTTGCTATCTTATGGAATTACTAGCCCTAGGTAACGACACGGTGTATTACCCGAATTTTTCCTTATTTTTAATTTAACCGCGAGACGCTCGTCAATTAAATCTGACTTATTGTACAATCTAGAAAACGCTTCTTAGATTTAATACAATTAGCCGCTTTACGATCTAGAAAAATAGACTAGACTAAGTAATGAACTCAACTGCGTTCGTTCACTTAAATAGGCTGTGTTATCCCCTGTAGTTACCATCTTCCGGTAGCCTCTTATGAATTAAACACAACAACAATTACGGATTGAAGGTCTAATTCAGCTATAGATATGTAAAATCCAATCTAGGTGATCAATCTAAATAAGACTTAACACATCATGGTAAATTATTCAAAATAACACAAACACTTCCGTAAAGATATTGAAAATATCAACCAAATAAATTAATCAAAACATAATCAATCATAAGGTTCGACTTCCCCAAAACTAGAATAAGAAAACTACTCAAGCATAATATTCAAAGACATAATCATAATAATTATACGAAAAAGAAAAAAAAATATTCTTTTCTGTCAAGCCTTTGTACTGCTTCTGCCTTGTGATCTCTTTTGCTCCAGTCTGCTCCCATTTTCTTCTCTTTTGTTTTCTTCCCCTCTTCCCCCCTTCATCCACCAAGTATGTCCTCTTTAAATATCCAACCTCCAAAGCCTTTTCTTTCTTTTGTGAAATAAATTGGTGGCCAACCTTCAATAATTAGGTGGCTTTAGGTGGCTCCTTATAATTATCCTTGGTCTTATTTTGTTGCTGCGTGGTTGGCATGTTGAGCAAATAATTCATAGTGGCCCTACTAATCAAAACTCCTCCAGCAATCAACTCTCCATTATTGTTGTCTCAATAATTTCAAATTAGTTGGGGGCAAGCCCAACCACTACTACTTTGTTTCTCTCTTAATATTCAAGTCTCAGCCCAAGACAATTAAAAAAAAATTGGAGCATATATTATATCGGTTATGGGGTGTTGTTGTCTAGTACGGGGTGCTGATTCGGAGTACTGGGGTACCCAGTACTACAGCGAAAAAAAGTTTATCGATCTCACATATTGGACTCAATATCGCCACCTGCTAGAAATACTCCCAAAACACTGAAAGACACTAAAGAAACACATCAAAGCACCACAATCGTTCATAACATCGAATAAGTCGAAAATCATATAAATGAAATGAATTAAACATGCACAAATACAAAATTAACCGATTAATGCAAGCACATTTTTCGACTAATCACACCTAATCAAGTGAGATTGACCAAGAAAGGTGTGACAATGAGATGTTCAATCTGCAAACAACCAAACCACAATTCAAGGGGTTGCCACAAAAATAAGAGGAATGATGTGCCTGCTCCAGTTCAAACAGATGTGCCTGCTCCAGTTCAAACAGAATCAACTGCAAATAAGGTACTTAGATGAAAATTAATGTTGTCATTTATTCAACCATGTAGTATCTTTACTTATCTCATGTTTATTTGCATAGAAAGAGAAAGAGTCCTATCAAATCCAACTTAGAAGGGAATGATCTGCAGAGCATAAGAAAGAGTCCTAGACTGAAGGTAAAATTGATTTTTGTTCTAATACAATATGTTCTTGTTATAAGCCTTTATCATTAAGTAACTATACAAATTTTGATTTTTTTGGTTGTTAATGTGTAGGAGAAAGCCCAAAGAGTTGGAGTCTCTGGGAAAAGGCCACAAAAGGTATAAATTTTCCTTTTCATTCTTTTTGGTTAAACTGGATTAGGTTAAATCATAACCATGACTTCTCATTATTTTTGGTGTTTGTGTTTGTGCAGGATAAAAGCATCAAAGCTGGAGGATCCTCACAAGAGCCAACAAAGGTATGGCATTTTTATTCACAAATGATCCTCACAAGCACCAATTGTGGCTTTTTATTCCTTTTTTCCTTTTTATATTTGGTTTTGTGCAGGGAAAAGACAACAAAATTGGAGAATCTTCACAAAATCCAGTGAAGGGAAAAGGAAAAGAAATGGTCAATGCTGGAAATTAGGGT